TGATGATAGCAGCCAGATGAGAGAGGTCCCCTGTCAGTCTGAAGATGTTCATGGTTGCAGAATGAATTAACAGACTCCAGCAAACACAGATGTCCCCTTGTATCCTTTGTAGTAGGTTTTTTAACCTAGTGCGGTCGTGTGTGGAAGCTTCTCCTCCAGAATGTGGCAGCAAACCGGGCTGAGGGCTTCAGACGATTGAAAATATGGCGAGAGTGCAGGTCGACGTGGAAGGGGGCGTGAACAAACCCAACAAAGAGATTTGGATTGGACTAAAATATGACTGACCCCACCTACAGATAGCTGGACCCAAAGTGGGTGCAAACTTCAGTCCTGTGTAGGCGAGGAGCGGCTATAGTTGTGGTTATCACTACAGAAAGTGCACTATTTGAACCATTGTATCTGTTTTATGGTGTTGCACTGTTGGAGGAGCCTGTGACCTAACATTTTCATTGATATATCTACACTGTAGCTACACTGAACAAAAATATAAACGCAACACTTTTGTTTTTGCTCCCATTTTTCATGAGATGAACTCAAAGATCTAAAACATTTTCTATATACACAAAATAACCATTTCTCTCAAATATTGTTCACAAATCTGAAAAAATCTGTGATAGTGAGCACTTCTCCTTTGCCGAGATAATCCATCCCACCTCCAGTGTTGGGAAAGTTCACTTTCTACATGAACTAGTTCAGTTCACAGTTCACAAATTTTAAAATGAACTAGTTCAGTTCACACATTTTAAAATGAACTAGTTCAGTTCATAGTTCATAATTCAACATTTTTAACTAAAGTTCATGGTTTCAAAAATGAACTAATTTATAGTTTATAGTTATTTTTTCAATACGTTGCTGCGAGCTATTATTTGTCAAAATGATTGCCACAACCCATATAGAACCACAGACAGCAATCAGAATACTGGCATTTCCATAACGCTTTGCTGCCGCCCATTCAGTCCACACTAGTAGCAGCTGCAGCTTTCATCTCTACAGTATATTTTCAAAAACATGAGGAAAAACGTGCTGCTTGAATGGTCTTTATTAAGTATAATAATCTAAATATACTTAAAGTCCCAAAAGTGAAAGTAGTCATTGTGCAAACATATAACATATAAATATGTGCCGACATAACTCTGTACTAACACAACACGAGGTAGGAACCAGGCTGAGGTATGAAACTAAGGTTACAGGCAAACGTTAGATTTTTTCCGTCTGAGTCAGTACTGACTTTAACGTAAAACTCTTTTAAATGCTCATACGCCGACGCCGTAGAGTCTGACTCTGAGCGCGTGCTGCTGCAGCTGCTCTCGGCTTCGTCCATACCAGAGCCCTAGAGAGATAGGGCTCTGGTCCATACTAATTCATTCAATGCTCGCCGGTTCCGCGGTTCCAAATTGTTTGTTGTGAGGAGTCTGATGATGACGTATATTTTAGTGCGACAGCCAGGGGTGACAGGCGCGTACGCGTCACAGGCAGCTTGCTGTTGCCAGATTGGGTGGTTTTCCGCATTATTTTGAAGCCTGTTTACGGTGTGTTTTAACTGGGGTTTCAGCTGAAAGGCATATGAAATCTGGCACCCTTTTGAACGCCGTTATAATACAGTGCTGAGAATGAACGCACTTTTGAACGCCGTTATACAGCGCTGAGAATGAACGCGTTCTCAATTACGTTCATCTAGCGGAAATACAGTACGTTCAGTTCACGTTCACCCAAAATATGAACGATCGTTCATTGAACGCGTTCAGGTACATCACTGCCCACCTCACAGGTGTGGCATATCAAGATGCTGATTAGACAGCATGATTATTGCACAGGTGTGCCTTAGGCTAGCCACAATAAAAGGCCACTCTGAAACATGCAGTTTTGCTTTATTAGGGGGTCTGGGGGGGTCCGAAAACCAGTCAGTATCTGGTGTGAGGGGTAGGGGTAGGGTTAGGGTAATGTTGTGAATCGAGTGGCCCATGGTGGTGGTGGGGTTATGGTATGGGCAGGCGTATGTTATGGACGACGCACACAGGTGCATTTTATTGATGGCATTGTGAATGCACAGAGATACCGTGACGAGATCCTGAGGCCCATTGTTGTGCCATTCATCCACGACCATCACCTCATGTTGCAGCATGTTGCAAGGATCTGTACACAATTCCTGGAGGCTGAAAACATCCCAGTTCTTGCATGGCCAGCATACTCACCGGACATGTCACCCATTGAGCATGTTTGGGATGCTCTGGATCGGCGTATACGACAGCGTGTTCCAGTTCCTGCCAATATCCAGCAACTTCGCACAGCCATTGAAGAGTAGTGGACCAACATTCCACAGGCCACAATCAACAACCTGATCAACTCTATGCCAAGGAGATGTGTTACACTGCGTGAGGCAAATGGTGGTCACACCAGATACTGACTGGTTTTCGGACCCCCCCAGAACCCCCCAATAAAGCAAAACTGCATGTTTCAGAGTGGCCTTTTATTGTGGCCAGCCTAAGGCACACCTGTGCAATAATCATGCTGTCTAATCAGCATCTTGATATGCCACATCTGTGAGGTGGGATGGATCATCTCGGCAAAGGAGAAGTGCTCACTATCACAGATTTTTTCAGATTTGTGAACAATATTTGAGAGAAATGGTTATTTTGTGTGTATAGAAAATGTTTTAGATCTTTGAGTTCATCTCATGAAAAATGGGAGCAAAAACAAAAGTGTTGCGTTTATGTACACATGACAGTAAAAGCTTTGAATCTTGAATCTTGGCCTAGTTTAATGCAGTGTTGGAAAGGAACTAAGTTAAAGTACTCAAGTACTGTAATTGAGTACATTATGAGGTACAAAACTACTTGAGTATTGTCATTTTATGCTACTTCATACTTCTACTCCATTACCATTTTGAAGCATATATTGTAGGCTACTTTTTATTTATTTGACAAGATGAGTTTGTTATTTTCGAAGGTTCATTTAATTAATAACTACAATTAAATAGACTAATGAAATGTAATGTACTATTATGGATGACGATACCTGACATTATAAAAAGTAATTAAATGTATCTCGTTCTTTACAATTTGCTAAAATAAAATAAACACATTTATGCATCACTAATTATGATCCAGTGATATAATATATATCAGGGGAAGCCAACACGGTTCCCGCTGGTGCCTGGTCAAAGTGCTGTAAAAGAAAATGTACACTATAATTATACTTTACTTGAGTATTTTCCCATTTTGCTACACTACAGTTTTACTCTACTACATTTTGTTGCCGATTGTTGTTCTTTTTACTCCAAAACATTCATAGTATAAATACAAAATATAAATCAACTAATACATTATTATATTTTATTATAGGTTTAGCTAGCCAGTTTATAAAATATTTTTTTTTCCAAGCACATCATTGACTTTATGAACACCATCAGTAATTATTATACAATATTTTTTAAATATCTGGTGCTTATTTGTGCCATGCTGCATGAGGATTACTGCTACTTTTGGTACCCAAACTATTATTTTATGCATATACTTTTGTACTTTTACTTAAGTAACATTTTGAATTCAGGACTTTTACTTATACTGTAGCTGACACTTTTAAGCTGTAGTATTTTTGTATTTTGCTGCTGTTTGCATTTGTCATGATGCAAAATCCTGATAAAGTATATCAATGTTTTGTCATATTATTTCCTAATGCTCTGATTGTTCCCTGTTTGGTTACTCTGCATAGATTTTTGCTGCTGCTGTATATACCCTACACACATCAGAGCTTTACAATGCAAGATCTGCTCCCCAGTCATTAAGTCTCCGATAGGCTCCTGAGGCCCCCTTAAAATCGCAAGTGCACTGTTTTTTTAATTTTGTAATCAACAAAACAACTGCACGATAAGGTTCTTAAAACCCTTATGTTGTGTTCGGGTCTCCCGTGACACGTTTCAAGTTTTGTTTTAAGTGTATAATTTGGTGTTCGGTTCTGGGGAGACCCAGCAGCATTGTTGTGGGTGACTCAGGTTCAAATTTGGCCCAATCAAGATTAATCTTTTACTTTCGACACCCCAGCCCCACCCTCTTCATCCACTGTAACAATATTTTTTCCGCAACATGCACCTGGTCTCTCATCCCTCTGCCCCCCTCCCCCCACGGGAACTCCACTTTTGTCAAAGAATATGTACACTAAAACTTGGACCTGAACACACACATGCACGCGCACATACGCACACAAGCACGCATGCACGCACACACACACACGCATGCACGCACGCACACACACACACACACACACACACACACACACACACACACACACACACACACACACACACACACACACACACACACACATACAAACACACTTCATCTTGTGGGGGTGTGGCATGAACAACATTGTCTCCAACAATCTATATTGTGAATCTATATGGGTCACCATGAACGGTAACAGCTTTCGAACACAACACAAGGTTTAAGCTGGATCTGACTCCATTTACTAATATTAACAAATCTCTTAAAGCCGACTTTGTTGAGGACCATTGGCAGTAACTTTGAATGATTATGGCCCATAGGCTGACAGTGTTTTTAGTGAACAGCACACAGTCTCAGTGGGTTCACCCTACGTTTTATGTTGATTTCAAAACATCTATAACCACACATCAGACGTTTCCCTTTATTAGATTGCTGCATTGCTTATATGCACAGAGGTAACAGTACACTTCTTCAGAAAATGTTGTTTATATTAGGCAATGACATGTCTGATGTGTCTTCCTGTTTATACAGACAAGACAAATATTTTTAGCATATTTCTGACCATAGATTTACATCTAAATCCTAGCATTAAATCTATTTGCACTTGATATTACAGATGCCATAGTTATCATGACAGGATTTTACACACTGAAATGAGTCATGTTTATAAAAATCCATAGTAACCATTCAGCTGCAGAGGACAGGGGGAGAAATAGGAACTAAGTGTTGAGGAAGTGCAATATACCTACTTCCCATGTTGTCACCCAGCAAGAGAGGCAAGGAATAATGAAATAATTCACAGACTGTCACAGACATGGACCGCTTGTTTTGTTTCTCGCTCTTGCTCACATACCTGCCAGTAACAGGTAAGATGTCTTTGTTTTGTATTTATCAGCTTTATTTACATCAGTCCTTGGCAATAATCTATTCAGGAATTTCATTGTTTCCAGATTTATGCAAACATTACTTCTGTTCAACAATAGCTGCTTTCTCTGAAACATTTCTCGATAGGAGATACTAAATGTTATATCTGTTTTTTAATCTAGAGAGTACGGAGGGCTGCTTATCCCAGACAAACAAGATGATCTGGCGGAAAACAGGCCAGAGTGTTTTTCTCAAATGTAGCCTCAGTTCAAATTGCTTAGCCAAGGGCTTGCAGTTTGAGTGGTTTGCTTTCAAGGAAAACGTCCATCTTCCTCTCAACGTGATTAAGAATCCTCACAAGTACAGCCTGGACAAAGCCTCTTTAAACATCAAGTCACTTCAGACAAATGAGAGCGGGATCTACTACTGTGCAGTATTTTCTGGATACAAAGCACCGGGCACACCATATGTAGCGTTGGGCACCACTCTTGTGGTGACGAGTAAGTGTCTGATTTTAAAGGTACAGATGTTTGAATGTGTTGATGTAGATGAATTGGGATTAACAACCTTTTTGTTGTTGTTCTCAGAATACATTAGTCCACTAGTGAGGCACATTCTTCTTTGGTTATCATTTGCCCTCTTGGCCACCTACAGCTTGGCAATAGTGACACTTATTCTAAAGAAGGTAAGTTACTGAAACACATTTATTTGTAATGTTATGTATTGTTAAGATGTTACAGAGTTCATGATAAATGTACCTGTTCCTCTCTGTTCCAGTGTGGCTGCAAAACGGGCGTCTGCAGAAAGAGGGGGGAAACAGATAAGGTTGTAAATATTTAAAAAAATCTGATTTCTGTTTTAATATTCGTTTCACATGTTTACTAAACTGGGAAAAACCAACAGAGGCAAAAAGAGGAACAGGAACCAAGGCTTGTGTAAATTACAGTCAAGGCTCTTACATTACCACATACTGTATGTCAAAGCAGCCTTTCACCAGCTGTTCTTAACACAAAACAAAAGCAATCTCCAAATATCTCTGTTTGATAACAGATTTCTTCTCAGACTCCCGTAGAGAAACATTCTTTTAAAAGAACACACTTCCGGGATGTCCTGCAAGAAATGTACAGCAAAAGGAATTTGGAGAAAGGCATTAAAGCTGAGAACAAAAAACGCTCTCAAGCGGAGGTAAATCTTGTTGCAGCACGTTTAGTCAACAGAGAAATTGAGTAAGCATGAGACTTCTGCAAAGCTTGTGTCAAAGCATGTTTGTAATTCATAGACTTCAATTGTGTTTCAGGCTCCAAGCACCGAGTTCAACAACTCAACTGATGACATCTATCAAAACGTCTAAGTGTCATTGATGTAAATGACCTCCAACATCCAGACTGAGAGGAAATTCCACAGCCGTTAAATACTTGGCACAGGATGCCGTGAAGAGACACAGGAAATTAACAAATCAAAGGCTGTAAGTTAGTCGAGTGCTTGTTCAGACTTTTCTCGCGAAGGGAAACACAACAACCACAACGAAGAGCGTCAGTTTTTCAGTTTCATTCCCTGTGAAAAGAAACAAAAGAAAACCCAATCTGATTCAGAAATGAGGCACATCTTTTTAGTTCATCAATTTAATTTCTTCCATACAAGTTGTTTGATAGAAAAATACAAAATAAATTGTGAATTGCATTTTTAGAAACAGAGAATAGAAAGTCACATTTTCAGGAAACAACTACCACATCGTTCACTGATGAAAGTAAAAATCAGAACTGTGCAACAGTGCAAAAAAGTCTGCAAGAAGAAAATGTAATTTCCCTTTTTCAACAATTAAGGTAAAAACAAAGTTTCAACATTCTGGGAAAAAAGTATTTACAAGATTGCTCATTAAAAAATGTAATGACATAAAGGGAACATTGCCGATGACTTGCAATACAATACAGTAGACAATGTTGCATTAACAAGGCAAACGTTTTGTATTGTTTAGTATTTGCTCAAAAAAAGAAGACGTTTAAATTCCAAAAACTTCTAATATGCATTAATTTTACAATCTGATATGTTTGTGCTTCATCATATTCGGTACAATACCTTGTATTTATTTACTGCAAATGCCCATAGAAACGTTTCTGCCAGTTAACATTAGCAATTACTTCATAAAGTCAAATTGGATGTTTACATACACAATGTTATACATTCAAAGCTGTGATATGCACTCTTTAACTTATACAACAATCACACATATACAGAAATGACAAATAGCTCAAAACAAGGCTGCCAGACGAGCTCTCCACTGTTCGAAGCACACTCATATTGGAGTTATACATAGAAACCTATCATGGCTTCCGGTTGAGAAACGTCTGCAATCTCGTGTTATCACTTTTCTAAAAAATGTCCAATTTAGCAAAAAAACATTTATGATATATTTTTATGATCAAATAGTTTACACAAGAGACGGGCATGACCATAAGACTAGACAAGCTACATCAGGTCATCTACTGGCACCTAAACCCAGGACACATCTTCTGAAACCTTCTGTGTCTTATAGAGCTATAAAGGAATGGAACTCATTGCCAAACTTCCTTGCTGAAATAGAGTCCAGAGCCTCTTTCAAGAAGAGGTTGAAGGGACATCTACTAATGACCATGTACCCTTGTGAGCCCTAATTTAATTGTATCTCATGCTTTGTACTGGTGGGTGTCTTGTGCACTCATCCTTGGCTGAGATTGATATTGAAAGTGGATGAGATTGTTGATGATGTTGGAGATTGTTGATGATGTTGGAGATTGTTGATATTGGTGATATTGGTGATGTTATTAATGTTGTTAATGATGTTAGGACTTATGTCTTGAATGTTGTTGTATTATTGTTGTATTGTTTTAAGTGTCGGGCCCCAGGAAGAGTAGCTCTTGTCAAGAGCAAAAGCTAATGGGGATCCTTAATAAACACATCATGCCTTCTATCTCTTTAAGCTCATTTTTTTAACTGAGTATAAGTACTGATTATATAGTGAAGATAATTAGAAGGCACAAAAACCCTTGCTTTGCTTTTGGTGTGGAAATCCAATTCCCCTGAGGATCCAATTCCTAAGAAAAAAATCAAATACTGCACACCTCTGCATTGATTAATCTAAAATAGTATTTTTAAATAAATGATGCAGAGGTGAGGTGTGTGGGATTTTTGCTTGTTGGACTATAATAACGAGTGAAATAAAGATTGCCCATGTTTACAGCAAAGAAGATGGTGTCGACTGCACTGCAATTACTTATTTGTTATGTCTTATGTTATAGAAAGTCATTAAAGGAAAAGAGAGACATATTGTACTGGCAGGGGAAATAATAATTATATTTCTTTCTTTTAATGATAATAGTAATTGTTCAAATATTTTTCTGACTTTATTCTCGCAATCCAAGACGTACACTAACATTACAATTCTACAATGTTTGGTCAAGTTATCCAGAAAGTGTTTGAAAGGTTATATTTTCACTTCTTCAAATATAGTTATTATTTACAGTGTATCTCCTTGGTGTCACCTGTCAGCAAACAGGTGCTTTTACACCACTGATTCTTTACAGTGGTGAATTTAGTACATGTTCAGTAAAAACCTGAATTCTCTCAAATATAATCTCATTATCACATAGCACAAAAAAAGATGTTCCCCAAATTCCAGCTGGTGAAAGATCAACCGTCTAATTATCGAGGTACTTTGTGTCCACCGTGTGACTGCTGCGGATGGAAAACAGCCTCCAGGAAAGGACTTGCAGCGCAGCGACACACAGGGGCACCAGACACACCAAGTAGAACATGACGCTCCGGAGGCTCCCCCAGGCACTGCAAACAGGCACAAAGGGATTCTATGTTTAAATCATTTTACAACGCATCACCATTTGACTTGTTGCACACTGTTATAACAATGAAACTGAAACAACCTGAACACGTTAGGCAGATTGTTTAAAGTGTATTCCAGAGATGATGTTTCTTCTAAAGCAAATTAAAATTAAAATCTTTTTTATTTGGGTTAACATTCAATTGTCACGAGTATCATTGTCCATGTGTTAATGTAATTTTTTTCAGTTTTGCTTATTTTACATTTTTTAAATGTTATTGTTTTATTTTAACATATCACTGTAGATGTTTTATCTTGTTCTGTATTCATTTTTTATATTATTTTAATATTGTTGTTGTGTTTTCTGTAAAGCACTTTGGGCTGCTTTGTGTATGAAAGGTGGTATTATTATTATTATTATTATTAAATGTGTTAAATAAAGTGAATGTCAAATATTGTTTGAATTATTTTGACACAGGCCAGTTTTGAATTAGATTTGTGTGCTAACCTTTTCAGCCCATATCCAACATATCCGAAATATCTCTTAATCTATGAAATAATGTAACTGAAATAAAAGGACATCTGAGAATAAACTACATTTAGTAGTGGTATGTGATTTCTGTACAAGCATTTCACTTAAACCAAAAGTTATCACAATGAAATGTTGGTAGTTCTACTCCAGTTTTAATTTTTTAACAGCTCTTATAATATCAGTTTTCACAGATTGTTGGTTTTCTCAAGTTAAGGGGAGCAAATAAATATTACTGAATCAAAACTACTGTACATCAAATCTTAACAGTTTTAGTTTAGACTTGTTTTGATCTATAAAATGAGAAGCAAGAACGTCTCCATACCTTAGATTTGAACCCGTTTCTCCTTCCTTCAGCTGTTCATATCCAAACTGGTTGAGGATAGTCAGCACGATCATTGGGGCTAGAGACTGAGCCGGCTTAGTGAACAGAGCGTTCGTCCCAAACACCATGGAGGAGAGAGGGGAACTGTTGATGGGAACACACGTTATGATATTATATCACCAGTCAAATAACAGGAACATGTTTAATTATAACTTCAGTAGAAAACATCTTGGCACTGGTAACAAGACAATGTATTTTTATCAGATGAAATTCTGTGTATTCATGTGAAAAGGGGAAGTTTGCTGATAATCATCTGTATTTTACCTGCGCTTGTACTTCTGCATGTCTTTGTCAATGATGTCAGCCAAAGGCAAGCCAAAGAGACTGAAGGCTGCTTGGATTATGACCCTGCACGAAAGACAAGAAGAGAGTGAAGGTTCAATTCAGTCAAGTTGTAGTGATAATGTAATGCAAAAAAATGAAAGATGTAAGTTAAGTTAATTAAGTTTAACCTCTTACATATTAACAGTGAGGAAAAATGCCAGGATATAATAGTGCTGAGGACCGAGTGCGAGCATGATAGCCGCCATTCCAGATTGCATGTAGAAGGTGTAGAGGATGATCCTGTAGTAGCCAAGGCTGTGGAGCAGACTCTGACAGCTTAATACTAACAGCTGGGAAGGAGACAAGGAGTCAAGAACAACACTTAAACATAAAGGCATAGCATACTATATATAAAGTAGTAAATAATAAACACTTTCTTGTTGGTGCATTATGTGCTGCAGCCGAGCTCAGTTTAAATGTGGACTTCCAAAAAGTAAGGGCTGCACAATATGTATTGGGCTGATAATGGGATATTTACATTATTGTGTATTTTTCTTATGGTTTAAGTTCGAGCCAAAATAATTGGCTGATATAATAAAGAAACATTGCATTAATTGACTTTAAAAGGTGCTGCATCTACGCACTCTGATACAGTAGGTGGCAGTATTACATTACATTGCATTTAGCTGACGCTTTTATCCAAAGCGACGTACAATAAGTGCGTTCGACCAACAAAATACAAACTTGAGGAAAACAGAATCATATAAGTACATCAGGTTTCATAGAGCAAAAACATTTCAAGTGCTACTCAACTGGCTTTAGGTAAGCCAGTCCTTTATTAGTATATAGTATGCACCTTTAAAGTTGCTTTTGGAGTTTTTGTATACATCACAACAAATAAGTATATTTGTTTGTTTTTGCTGTGTTAACAATAGAGACAGTGATATTTTGTTGAGTCTGAGTATCATATCATCCAACTACACCTTTTTTACATTCCGATGTGCAAAAACTACAGGTTATACATTTCCCTTTTAAAATAAAAAAGGTGAAATTATAGTTCATCAGCCATAGGAGGTAATTATTAGTTATTGGTATTGCCTGAAAATATCCATTACGTGCATTCCAATTGTTTTAACTGAGTTGTAATTAATAGTCAGCATTGTCATTCGAGACGACAGGACACAAGGACACAAACAAAGACAGTACCTGTGGACACATGAATCCCGCTCCGTACATGATGCTCTTGGCAAGTGATGGAAGCACATCTGGAGGAATCAGGTGCTCAGTAAAGATCATGGTAAAGTTATTAAAGAAAGCTAACACGAACACCTGAAAGAAGTTCATGAACACAAAAATCTGGAAGTCCCTGTTGCTCAGAATTTGCCATGTCAAAGATTTCAACATGGAGAAGGAAACTGTGGATTGATGGGAAGTCTGGTCAGCAGATCCCCCTGAATCTGATACTTGGTCGAAGCGACTCTCGCTGTTGAAGCCTGTGTAGAGCATGCAGCCACAGCTCAGGATAGCGATCAGCACTGAGAAGGCTTGGAAGGATGCAAAGTCCTCCATGTTTTTGGAAAGAACACCACAGAAGAGGACACTTGAGGAACCAATGAGAGAAGCCACCTGGGAAATAAAAGGTGTAAGATGGTATCAGAGAGGTATGAGAGCTTTTCACCGATGGAAAAAGTGTTATGTAAAGTCCTTACCTGGTTGTACTTCACAAGTCTTATTCGGCTCTGATGGTGCCCCGAAATCTCTGCAAACAACGCACATTGTGCCAGCAGCACAAAAGTCAGCATGGCGTCAAAAGCACACAGCGACACTGTCAAGTGCACGCCGCTCAGCCAGTCCCCGGGGGCGTACGTCTGCCATGGGAACCAGGCTAGAAGAAAAGCCAGTGAGTAGAGGGGAGCCCCGTACAGGATGGAGAGACGTCGCTGAGAGCAGCACGGCACCCTGGAGTTATCTTGCAGGTATCCAAACAGAGGGTCGTTGATCGCATTCCACACCATGTACACCACCTGGGAAGATAGGAGTCATAATGAAACACTAGAGAGGATTTGCTGCTTTCTCCATTTCAAATGACTATCTCGTAAGCATTTCGGTCATGTGTGTTTACGTGCATCTGCCTGTCTGAAAGCTAATCTTGTAATTTCCCCAAGGGAAAAGAAAATGTTCCTGTCGGTATTTGCATTCTTAATTAAAGCAATTGTGGTTTGTATCAATTGAATCATACGTCAAAGCAGTGTTTTTGTAAGGCCAGAAACACCTTGTTGAGTTCTTGACTGTAATATTGAGTGAACTTTTTAGCAGTAAATTGAGTGAGTATCTTTAGGTTTTGGACAGTTGGCTGAAAGAAATAAGCAATATGGAGACATCAACCCACACTCTGGGAAATGTTAAGCATATTTTACTTCTGCCAGATATCCCATTAACTAAACAATTAGTTATCAGTGATCAAAAATAATTAGGTAACAGCTTAAAGTTTAATAACATCATCATGATGCAGCCTTTTTAAGTGGAAAGCAGCCCAACATATGTCCATATTACTGTTGACTACTAGCAGTGTTATTGTATTATGATCTATTATAACATTGATAGACATTTGTATACAAAGAACAGCAATACGTAAAAATGAAATACTCACTTGTGATTGGTGGAATGCTCCCTCTGATATCTTGTACTTATTGAGAAAGAGTTTGACATAGTAGAAGCTGAATATGTTGTTTATCATGCCAGACCCCAGTGTAGTCATGGCATAAGCCACAGCTGCAGGATTGAGCCCAACATATATCAGGAGACGAAGTACATTCGTTTTTCCGGAAGCAGGTTTCCCCTCCATGGCCATGACAGCTCAAATGGTAACAACCAAGTTCTCTGCAGGTTTAAGCAGTTGGGGCAAAGAAAGGTTGTCGCTTTTAACATCTATGTTACGCTGTTATTTAGCATTTCTACAAAGTAGCCTAGCCTACTGCTAATATCAAAAATAGTAGGTTGGTCAAAATGTCACAGCAAAAAAAATCGTTCGGTACTAAGCTTGCTGTTCTTCCAAGTGTCACATTTTCATTTCAACAATGTGTCTTCCCGCAAGTAAATGCTTCCTGAAGTTTAGTCACATTAGGAACAACTCGATAGTCAACACCAGTCCGTCGGACACATTTCTCTCTACGGAGCAGGGCGAGGCTTCTAGAAAACGAAACATCTGATTGGCCATAACTGTTATTCTCCAATTTGCTACTTCGTGATTCGTCGTTGGAAAATGTCTGTTAACGTGAACAGGAACAACGATTTTTTTAAACGTGTTAAACAGTAACTAAATGTATATTCTCTACAAATGTAGATTATGAATTGTATAGAAAGTCATTTTTAATATTGGGTTATAATTTTAGAAAATGTATAAAAGTAATTATATGGTTTATCTGCCACCTGCCGGATGCTGGGGCGTATTTGCCACGTTGCTGTAGACAACAGACAGAACGCCTTTACACACGCCGGGAGGATCGAGGATGTCACTTTACTTTTGTCCGCTCACAGGGGTGGACCGAAAACAACTTCAAGCTGCTGAACCACTCACACCTGTGTGTCAGGTCTGTCAGCTGGAGCCGCTAACAGCCCCGCGGCTAAAACAATGCTAAGTGACGTGATTTTGGAGGAAGAGTTTGACAAGAATGGAGAGGCTTGGTACGACCCGCAGGACCTGGAACATGGTAAGAGCTGCTCGGCTCTGCGGTCGCACCCTAAACTCTGTCTGACTTTGTGGGCTGATGTAATTACTGCATGGACAGTTGTATACAGACAGCAGGATAGTATGACTGATTTATTGCCACATCTTGTCTGGTACAAATGTAATAAGAGATACAAACTTTTATTCTGCTTGATTTGGTGGTCATATGAGATTTCTCTAAACTGATGGGACTAGCCAGAAGGCTCACAGATGATGACATTGAAGCCTATAGTCTGTTCTTGTGACTAAATCATCACACTGGTCATGAGGTGAAAGCTGGTTCCCTGAGGCTGTCACAGGCCCTTGTTGGTAACCTTTTGCTAATCATGCATGTTGTTTGTGCTGCTGACAAGTCAACAAAGTTGGGTTTAGATTCAAATATGTTTAAAGATCTATAGACATAACACGTTATAAAAAAACGTTACTCTCTAATATGTGATGTATGGCTACCTATTTACCAGATTGTGCTTGCACCACATAATGGATTTGTTTTTTTAATTGACATATTCACAGGTATGTTACAATACAGGGATTGAAGATTTAAAATAAATATATATATATATATGCAGAGGAGTTATTTTGAGTGTATTAAAAGTGGTCGATGGACAAAAAATATATTTTTTATATTTTATATTTGTATGTCAATATATTGTAATAGTAATTTTTCAAAGTTAGACTGTTAACATCCACTGGTTTTAGATTCTTAATTGGGGGATTTGATGCTTCCATTTGGCATACACGTAATAAAAGTAAATATGTTTGTCTTGGCCTATGTCGGATGAATTGACACTAAAGGTAGTTGATTGTTGCAGAGAAATGAATCACTTTTATAACAAAAGGATAAATGACCAGATCAAGGACCAAGTAGGCAGTCTGTCCTCAACCTGAAAGCAGATACAGAGGCAGCTTGTTACACAGGGAGATGGCAGCAGGAAGGAAAGGTTTCCTGCTGCATTCCACAGTGGGGCTGAATCGGATTTATTGTTTGTAGATATCAGAAGGATAACAGTTTCTGCAGCAGCATCCTCTCCACCAACAACTCTAAGGACTTCATTGTAGGGCTCAAGGTTGTTGTTGTTGTAACCACATGACAGATAGAGTTAAAAAAATCCCAGGGCATACACTGCTGATTGCCGGCAACATGTTTGGTGTCATCGCATTGTTATTGGAGAGTCCCACATAAAACATGCTTCCCTTCTCTTCAGGGGACTAGTCAACATGTCTCTGGACAAGGGTTAGAATTTAAGATCATTTTGTGGGAGAAATGTTGACAAGGAGATCCCAAGGCATGCCTTAGATTCCTCTGTGATTCACCATGCCAGATACTTAACAGTGTGAGACAATGAGGTGTGGGTGTGTGTGTGTTTACCCGTCACACAAGTCTAGTTCTATTTGTTGCCTGTGTTTGGGCATTGAAAGTGTCCTGTATCTTGTGTTTACATGTTTCCCCGTGCTTTGACAGATCTCCACTTGGCAGCGGAGCTTGGGAAAACTCTCCTGGAGAGGAACCATGAGCTGGAGCAGGCCCTGCAGCAGATGTACTCCACCAACCAGGAGCAGCTGCTGGAGATAGAGGTGATACATGTTAGGAAGGAACTAATCAGACTTCATGAAGCTCGAGCTGAACTAAACTCTCTCTAAGGACAGTATGTGAGCAATGCATATCCATGTCATGCAAAATATGTGTATATGTATATCCTTCAAAGGGGGATTTGTCGAGAAAAGTCCATGTCAAGGGTTTTAAAAGCTCTTTCACTGCAGGGGAGGGATCGTGGTGAATGTCCCTCAACTTTAAATCGGATGAAGTAAAGGCTTATGTAATTCTGAACAGACCTATTGAGCCCTTAGTAAAGCCCTCTTGGCAGGATGCTGTTTACGTAATTATATGAACATTTCAAACGGCTTATTTGCCACCTTTCACCTTTTACTTAGTAAGACGGTATCAAATAAAAAATGAAGGAAGTCACGAAAAATACAATATGTGTCATAATGTAGTGGGATAAAAGTCTACATTGTTCAAATAACCAACATCCTAATTAAGGATTTGCTTCTGCTACAAAATCACTTTTCGGTGTTCATCTGTCAATACATCAACCTCTCTGTTGGTCATTTCAATCTATTTGATTAACGCAGAGTATAGATTGAGCTTCATTTGTAGGTTTTCAGGTTAAGATTATAAATGAACGCAATGGGACCTTACATTTCAGTGCTCAGACATTTCATTTTGGCACATGCAGACAGTGCTTATCTATTTGAGTTTGAGGACATGGCATTCAGCAGGTGAAAGAAGATAAGAGCCTTAATTTGTTTACGGCAGTTGGATCTGTTGGCTTAAGGATTTTTTGAAGTCGATATGATAATCGCCATACGTCTGTCTGACCTTCATCCTCTTGCAGTGTGATACAGGGCTGTGCTGCTGCATGGTTGCATTGTTTTCTATCAAAGTCATTTAGGTAAAAGACGATAAAGGGCTATTGCAGGAACATCTTCATAGATAATGAGTGCACCATGCAAAAAAGCTCATGTCCCTCTTAACAGGCAGCTCTTTGCGTCTAAGAAGCCTTTGTCTGGTTGGTAATAAAATGTATTGACCTGGGAAATAAAACCAAATATAAAAGCGTGTAAAAGTTACTACCTCATCTTTTTTTTGATGGGTTATACGTGATAAGTCAATCATCAGAAATCTAAAATATATTAACAGTTTAAGTAATTTTCTTTATGCAAATATGTATGTTTTCAGCCTCTTAATAAGGAGATTTCATGCTTTTGGAATTTCAAACCAAAACCATTGGAAACACTGGAAACAACATTTTTCACTGTAATCTCACATTTTATTGAGCAAACAATTAATCAAAAGATGAATGGACAGATAATAAATAATGAAAATGATCATATTCCTAATTGGAATCGACCAATCTATGAATACATCCGTAGAGCTTGACCAACAAGCCTGGGGCCCAAAGTAGCCTTTTTTTCGTTATGTCTTATTTAGTTTTTTCAACAGCTCAAACATCAAATATTCAGTTTGCATTTATACAAAGCAGAAGAAAACAAATTGATTTAAACATGATATGAATTGAAGACACATTACAAACCTCAAAAAAACAAATCAATCTTTGTCCTTTCCCTCTCTTGTTCTCCAGCACCTGACCAAGCAGGTGGAGCTGCTGCGTCAGATGAACGATCAGCACGCCAGAGTGTACGAGCAGCTGGACGTGGCTGCCCGGGATCTGGAGCATGACAACCGCAGGCTGGTGACGGACAGCCGCCTGGCCCAGCAGAAGATCCGCAGGTACCACATCAGTTATCTGTGAATTTGGCTTTTACATTTCCTTATATATTTGGTTAAGTGCAGTGCCACGATCTCCTTTCTCCTCCCTCTCTCCAGTCTAACAGAGACCGTTGAGGGGATTCAGACGTACATGGAGAGCCTGCAGACTCAGGTGGAGGAGTTGAAGACGGCTCAGGTGGAGCGGGTCAAGAGAGAGCAGGCAGAGCAGCGCCGCAGCATGGGAGCACAGAGTGTGTCCTGTCTCAAAGAGCTGTACGACTTACACCACGACAGGTATTTCATGTCTGGGGTGAAGTGTTTCATTACACATGTTCTGCTATACAGTGCTAATGGCAGATATCACAGAATGAGAACATTCTTTGTAGATCTGTTGTGGGATAAAGTCACAGTTAGTGCTGTACCCAATAGTTTGAAGCTTCAAATTCCAAAGCAACATATGTTGGATGTTTATTCATTACATTAAATGCAGTGTTTGTGCACAAATGCAGATCAAGAAAAGCTTCAAACATATAATTATCAGATCAGATTTTGATGGTGCCGAAGTAGGAATCCTATTTCCAAAAGCTTCAGTCATAACATTACAATTAATTGAAAAAAGTTAGATTTGATCATTTCCAAAATGTCGCTTTTCATCTTTCAAATACTCTGTTGCAATCCCTATTGTTGGGGTTAAGACCAAACCACCATTTGTTCAATGCTGTCACACTTGCTGCACACAAAGGAAGGCAAATACATGTATTAACAGGCAAGTTTAGCGTCAATCTACCAACACCAATAATAATATTTATATAACCACAATGTCAAAAAAGTTGACCCTCTTCTTTTAGGTGGATTAAAATATGATGACAGACATTCAAAGCTTCATTTGAACACCTCTATTGAAGGTTTGCATGTTAAGATAATGTTAATGACATTCAGCACAGCTCTAGTTGGAGTAGTGACTGTAGGCATTTGGACAGTTAACTTTATTACTGAGAACTACCCGGATATATCTGCTTGAGGTGTTTTTCTTGCACTTTTACATGAGAAGTGAGGGTTTAGTGCATCTGAATAGTTAGAGCCCTCGCCTGTTGTCTGATCATCTCTTACCCTCAGTGCACTGCTGACTCAGCTGACTGGACACCTACAGGTCACACAGAGCTGGACCAGACCTCCTTCTTTAGACATAATCTAATGAGGAGGACATTAATCCCCCCCCCCATTGTCAGGATTATTCTAATACACAGTCATGCCACTTGTTTGATGTGCAGAGTTGTCATTTATAAGGTTAACAAAATAACTGTTGACATCATTTGGTTTCATCTTTGCAGAAAATGGAAGCACCCAAGGGCGTAGTTTCTGTTTCATTGTCAAAGTAATGCAGTAGGTAGTGTAGGAAACAGCTTATTATAATTAAGTATAGCATGTTGACTTGTGAGTATATCCAACATTAGAGTGCTTTTTTTCTAATCTTTTCATGTAATGTAGTCTCATTGTTTTTTAGTGTTTTATGTCTGAATGTGCTTTTATTAACACTTCCCTATCTTTGCTCAGGCATCTACCCCACGATGGTCTGCGTGTGGAAGGACTCTGGTCACCGCAGGGCTCTTTCCATGACAGACACAGACGGCAGGACCCGGAGGAGGAGCATGCATCTCTGCAGCACTCCGTTCAGACCCTCCAGAGCCAGATATCTGCGGAGCGGAGCCGCAGGGAGGCTGCAGAGCGGGAGAGCGAGTTGACCTCCAGCGAGAACAGAGACCTGGAGGAGCGGCTGGCCATGCTGTCCGGCTGCCCAGCCAGGCAGAGGGAACTGGAGGCCGAGGTGGAGCAGCTGAGGCTCCTCTGGCGAGCTGAATGTGCCAACAGGTAGGCTTGTAAAACTATTTTGAATGCAACTTTATGATTGAGATTTGGGGATACAACATTTGATACCATGCTTCCCACAGGTCAACGACATGATGGTGAAATTAAGGGGAACAAATGAACAAACAAAGACCTTAAACAGAAGTAAATTCTCTGATATAAGATAAGATAAGATGGACCTGTATTAATCCCCGTGGGGTAATTCAGTTGTTTAAACAGCGACAGGGTAAGATTGAAAAACTGGACAGCACAGATTCACACAATATTAAAGATAACATTGAAATTATATACAGTTAAGTAACTTTTAAAATAAGAAATGAATTAAACATATATACATGTTTGGGTCAGTCTGATAAACCTGAGACTTATTCCTACTTGTCCCCTCCGCTCTCTCAGTGCCAGAAGACCGGACCAGCTGCTGCTTCCTGACACAGTGTTCTTTGCCTCGGAAGAAAGACAGGATGAGAGGGACGAGGAAGTAGAAAAGGACGAGGAGCAGAGGAGAGACTTCAGGCAGAGGTCTAACGGTGACAGCGTTCTGAAAACCACAAACCCAGAAGACATTCGCCGTGATCACGAGCGGCTGTGTGTAAGGCGAGCGGAGGCGGTGAAACAGAGGGGCATCTCTCTGCTCAACGAGGTGGATGCACAATACAGCGCACTGCAGGTGGCGTATTCATAGCATCTCTGGTACAATAGACCCATCAAAAATATTCAGAAGAAAAAGTATTATTGTTGTTGAATTTCTCTATTTGTTTCGAACAATGCTTCTCTTAAGGCAAGGCAAGGCAAGGCAAGTTTATTGATATAGCACTTTTCAACACAAGGCAATTCAAAGTGCTTTACAAATAATGAAAGACATTAAGAAAAAGGCATTTAAAATCAGTCATTAAAAAGAAAAGCTAATAAAATAAACATTATAAGAAAAAATACATGGATACAAGTTTGAGTGCAGTCTAAGATATGAATAGTTCAATTAAACATTAAAAGAAAAAGTACATGGATAAAAGTTACAGTGCAGTCCAAGATATGAATAGTTCAATTAAAAGCAGCGACAAAAAGAAAAGTCTTCAGCCTGGATTTAAAAGTAGTCAGAGTTGCAGCGGACCTGCAGGTTTCTGGGAGTTTGTTCCAGATATTTGGAGCATAATAACTGAACGCTGCTTTACCATGTTTAGTTCTGACTCTGGGGACAGAAAGCTGACCAGTCCCTGAAGACCTGAGAGATCTGGATGGTTTATAATTTAGCAGGAGGTCAGAAATGTATTTTGGGCCTAAACCATTCAGTGCTTTATAAACCAGCAGCAGTCTTTTGAAATATATTCTTTGACACACAGGAAGCCAGTGTAAAGACTTCAGAACAGGAGTGATGTGATCCACTTTCTTAGTGTTAGTGAGGACTCGAGCAGCGGCGTTCTGAATCAGCTGCAGCTTCCTAATAGATTTTTTAGTGAGACCTGTGAAGACACCATTGCAGTAGTCGAGTCTACTGAAGATAAAAGCATGGACAAGTTTTTCCAAATCCTGCTGTGACATTAGTCTTTTAATCCTAGATATATTCTTTAGGTGATAGTAGGCTGATTTAGTAACTGTTTTAATGTGACTGTTGAAACTCAGGTCAGAGTCCATGACTACACCTAGATTTCTGGCTTTATCTGTTGTTTTGAACATTGCAGACTGAAGCTCAGCGCTAACTTTTATACGTTCTGACTTGGCTCCAAAAACCATTACCTCAGTTTTATCTTTGTTTAATTGGAGAAAGTTCTGACACATCCAGTCATTGATGTGTTCAATGCACTTACTCAGTGTTTGAATTGGAGCATAGTCTCCTGGTGAAATTGTTACGTAAATGTGTGTGTCATCTGCATAGCTATGGTAACTTATTTTGTTGTTTTTCATTATCTGAGCCAGTGGAAGCATGTAGACGTTAAAGAGAAGAGGCCCCAAGATGGAGCCTTGAGGAACCCCACATGTCATATTTGTCAACTCAGATGTGTATTTACCTATAGAAACAAAGTTGTTTCTGTCCTTTAAGTAGGATTCAAACCAATTTAGAACTGTTTCCGAAAGTCCCACCCAGTTTTCCAGTCGGTCTAGTAATATGTTGTGGTCAACAGTGTCAAACGCAGCACTGAGATCTAATAATACTAACACTGAAGTTCTGCCACTGTCTGTGTTTAAGTGGATGTCATTAAAGACCTTTACAAGAGCAGTCTCAGTGCTGTGGTTTGGACGAAAGCCTGACTGGAACACATCGAAACAGCCACTTAAATGCAAGAAATTACTCAACTGTTGAAAAACAACTTTTTCAATGATTTTACCTAGAAATGGGAGGTTTGATATGGGCCTGTAATTGTTCATTACTTAAGCATCTAGATTATTCTTTTTTAAGAGCGGTTTAATGACTGCAGTTTTCAGGGCCTGTGGAAAAATACCTGAGTGAAGAGATTTGTTTACTATATGAAGTAGATCTGAGGCCATGCAACGAAAAACATCTTTGAAAAATTCTGTTGGAATAATATCAAGGCAGCAGGAGGAGGATTTCAGAAGTTGAATAATGTCCTCTAGGTTTTTATCATTAATCTGATGGAATTGTGTCATGGTGTTTGAATTGATGTTAAGTGGACACAGAGACAACACATTTGCTGTTCCTGATGCAGAGGCACTGACTGCTTGTCTGATTTTCTGAATTTTGTCAGTGAAAAAGGAAGCAAAATCATTGCACGCCCTGGTGGATAGAAATTCAGAGGCTACTGACACTGGGGGGTTAGTTAGTCTGTCGACGGTAGCAAACAAGGCAAGTGCGTTGTTTTTGTTTTTGGTAATGATGTCAGAGAAGAAAGACTGTCGTGCGTTTTTCAATTCCAAATTATAAAGGCCAAGTCTCTCTTTATAGATTTCAAAGTGAATCTGGAGATTTGTTTTTCGCCACCTGCGTTCAGCTTTTCGACATTCTCTTTTTTCTGCTCTCACGGTCATGGCCTTTCTCCATGGAGATATTTTCTTGCCAGACACTTCCTTTACCTTAGTTTGAGCAATGGCATCTATAACATTTTGAATTTTTGAATTAAAATGATCTACTAGCTCATTTACTGAGATGTTAGCAGGGGCAAGTGTGGAAGAAAAATTCTGAGTAAACATTTCCCTAGTATTTTCAGTTAAATATCGCTTTGTGGTTACCTCTTTTTGAACATTTTTGTGAACAGAAATAGAGCTCTCAAAGAAAACACAGGAATGGTCAGAGAGAGCAACATCAGTCACCACAACCTTAGAGATATTCAGCCCCTTTGAGATAATTAAGTCCAGAGTGTGCCCCTTATTGTGCGTGGGCTCCGTCACATGCTGAGTCAGTCCATAGCTATCAAGAACACAAAACAGTTATTTTGCCCCTCTGTCCTGGGGGTTGTCAACATGGATGTTAAAATCACCAACAATGACTAGACGGTCAAAGTCAATACACACTATAGACAGCAGTTCAGTAAAGTCATCAAAAAAGCTTGCACAGTATTTGGGTGGTCTATAGATATTTAGGAACAGAGCTCGAGAGGAGCATTTCAGCTGAAGGGCCACATATTCAAAAGAATCAAAGTTTCCATAAGATGTCTTCCTGCATTGAAGGGAATCATTGAACAGAATAGCAACTCCACCCCCTTTCTTATGCATTCTTTCCTGACTCATAAAACTAAAGTTGGGAGGGGTTGATTCGATAAGAACAGCTGCACTGTTATTTTGTTCAATCCAAGTTTCTGTTAAAAACATAAAATCGAGATTATGCTCAGTGATAAAATCATTGATTAAAAATGTTTTTCCTGCCAAAGACCTGACATTTAATAAAGCTAGTTTAAGTTTGTTAGACACACTATCAGTCAGTCATAAAGGTCACCTATTAGGAAAAATCCACTTTTTCATGTCTTTTATACATATTTATGTGTCCCCTTAAGAGATTCTGAAAGTTTCAGGAATACAGATTAATTCTCTTTTTGTCCTGATCCATTTATATATAAACCTGTATGTAAATGAGTTGATTAGATTTTGGCCACTTAATGATGTCATGACGGTTTTTTTGGCTTGTTTAACCATTAGCCAATCACCAACCAAGGTAACCTCCCCCCACCTTATCACCTGAGTCTCCTCCTAGAGCACCATTGTGTTATTTTTAACCAAATGTCTCTCAGTGGGGCGTGGGGAGTGGCTCCTTATTTTCATCTGAAGTAACAGACAGAGAATCAGCACTTTAGAAACAGGGCTGAAACAGAGGGGATTATGGGATGCTACAATGATCTGTTTGGTGTTTGGAGCCAAACACTTCAGAGACATGTTTGTACACTGAACAAAAATATAAATGCAACACTTTTGTTTTTGCTCCCATTTTTCATGAGATGAACTCAAAGATCTAAAACATTTTCTAAATACACAAAATAACCATTTCTCTCAAATATTGTTCACAAATCTGAAAAAATCTGTGATAGTGAGCACTTCTCCTTTGCCGAGATAATCCATCCCACCTCACAGGTGTGGCATATCAAGATGCTGATTAGACAGCATGATTATTGCACAGGTGTGCCTTAGGCTGGCCACAATAAAAGGCCACTCTGAAACGTGCAGTTTTGCTTTATTGGGGGGTCTGGGGGGGTCCGAAAACCAGTCAGTATCTGGTGTGACCACCATTTGCCTCACGCAGTGCAACACATCTCCTTGGCATAGAGTTGATCAGGTTGTTGATTGTGGCCTGTGGAATGTTGGTCCACTCCTCTTCAATGGCTGTGCGAAGTTGCTGGATATTGGCAGGAACTGGAACACGCTGTCGTATACGCCGATCCAGAGCATCCCAAACATGCTCAATGGGTGACATGTCCGGTGAGTATGCTGGCCATGCAAGAACTGGGATGTTTTCAGCCTCCAGGAATTGTGTACAGATCCTTGCAACATGGGGCCGTGCATTATCATGCTGCAACATGAGGTAATGGTCGTGGATGAATTGCACAACAATGGGCCTCAGGATCTCGTCACGGTATCTCTGTGCGTTCACAATGCCATCAATAAAATGCACCTGTGTTCGTCTTCCATAACATACGCCTGCCCATACCATAACCCCACCACCACCATGGGCCACTCGATTCACAACATTGACATCAGAAAACCGCTCACCCACACGACGCCACACCCGCTGTCTGCCATCTGCCCTGAACAGTGAAAACCGGGATTCATCCGTGAAGAGAACACCTCTCCAACGTGCCAGACGCCATCGAATGTGAGCATTTGCCCACTCAAGTCGGTTACGACGACGAACCGGAGTCAGGTCGAGACCCCGATGAGGACGACGAGCATGCAGATGAGCTTCCCTGAGACGTTTCTGACCGTTTGTGCAGAAATTCTTTGGTTATGCAAACCGATTGTTGCAGCAGCTGTCCGAGTGGCTGGTCTCAGACGATCTTGGAGGTGAACATGCTCGATGTGGAGGTCCTGGGCTGGTGTGGTTACATGTGGTCTGCGGTTGTGAGGCCGGTTGGATGTACTGCCAAATTCTCTGAAACGCCTTTGGAGACGGCTTATGGTAGAGAAATGAACATTCAATTCACGGGCAACAGCTTTGGTGGACATTCCTGCTGTCAGCATGCCAATTGCACGCTCCCTCAAAAGCTTTTCGACATCTGTGGCATTGTGCTGTATGATAAAACTGAACATTTTAGAGTGGCCTTTTATTGTGGCCAGCCTAACGGTACGTCCACACAGCAGCTTTTCAAAAAACTTGAAAATCTTGGAGCTGGAGTCTGAAAGCTTGGGGATTTTTTGCGAGCAACGCGACCAACAACCAATCACATGATTCTCCCGCCCCCGACATACAAAGCAAAAAACCCCGGGGATTTTATGCGAGCAATATATATATATATATAAACTCCCCAAACAGGCGAAAACCTACCAGTTTCACCCACTGTCTCTGCCACCTCCCTCCATGCCTGGTTCCTCCGGTTTGTATCCCGTTAATAGTTCTGGTCGTAAAGAACCGGGTGATTTGCTACCGTAATTTCTCGTTTGGAATATGAGGAAATGAACTGCGGTCTGGTTCTCCCTGCTTACACGCGGTTTGATTGGCTAGCTCTTCTACTGTCAGATTTGCATAAACGGGATTTGATTGGCTGACGCTTCTAGCTCAGCTTCAAAAGTTGAACATTGCTCAACTTTTGAATCCTGAAAATCCTGGAAATCTTCACTTCGCTCCCCCACAATGCAGTTCGGCGAAAAGCGAGGCAAAGTGACGTCATCCCCATTCAAAGTCAATGGGCAGAGAAGCGTTGGAAGATTTGTTTAAAGCTGCTGTGTGGACGTACCGTAAGGCACACCTGTGCAATAATCATGCTGTCTAATCAGCATTTTGATATGCCACACCTGTGAGGTGGGATGGATTATCTCGGCAAAGGAGAAGTGCTCACTATCACAGATTTTTTTCAGATTTGTGAACAATATTTGAGATAAATGGTTATTTTGTGTATATAGAAAATGTTTTAGATCTTTGAGTTCATCTCATGAAAAATGGGAGCAAAAACAAAAGTGTTGCATTTATATTTTTGTTCAGTTGATGAAAAACAGTATAATAGGGGACCTTTCACTTTTAAAGAAGTCTGTACATAGCATTGAAAATAAAATGTGTGGACCTCCCTAAAATATGCGTTTGTCGTCTAGGTGAAATATGACGAGCTGCTGCGACGGTGTCAGCGGGCGGACGGGCCCAGCCATAAATCCGTCCAGACGTCCGTTACTCCGTGTGCGAGCGGCCGAACCCTCCGCCGCCGCTCATCACTTCTGTCGGATATGACAGACGGTCAGCAGCCCGAGTACAAGGCTCTCTTCAAGGAGATCTTCACCCGCATTCAAAGAACCAAAGAGGACCTCAGTGACAACATACATCCAATCAAGGACAATGATGCTCAGGGCTCTGCCAGATGATTTTTGTTTGTGTCTTTTCAAAGTGTTTGACAAAGGAGAAACTTGCAGGCTGCTTTGCAATAAAAATATCAGAGGATGCAATATCCTTGACACGGTGCTCTCCGATTATATCATGACATTTTGATACACTTTGTTTTTGTTAGTCAGCACTGTTCCTTTTATTCCGTCCTTATCGAACAAATTAAGTATTATAAAACGTGTTATTTAAGCAGCTAAGCAAGAATGCATTTAAAAGTTTAACGACAAATTAGAAAAAATACATACATGGTAAATAATTATTGTATGGAGATATATTTATAGTCGAATAATTTGTACTATCAGCTTGTATTACCTCCAACAGTATTCAGTGTTTATGTAATGAGGACACTGTAATCGCTTGGTGCTTGGGAGAGAAATGCTCACGTATAATATTGTTGTACGACTTATGTAAACAGAAAAGTTGTAATAGGATGAAAAACTGTAGTTATGTATTTACTAAAGACTCAGGAGTTTATAATATTAGCTTAACCGCTAATGTGAGGTGGTTATGCAAGTTGCCGAAAGTTTATTCGTAGAGGGTCATCGGCGTGTCAACAGAGAAATATAAGTGGACACTGGAAAACAGTTTTGACTAGTTTGTGCTTTCTGTTCCGTGTCTGCACAGCTTCTTACGATTGTCTCCATGCCAGTAGGACACATAACAGCTTTGCACTTTTTATTTCTCAATCAAATGTTTTCTTTTTATTTATTATTTTTTTAACATTACATTCTATTTATTTTCTTTGTTGTTGAATAAGCAAAGCAGATTGGTCAGCTGAGAGTGAAAGTAATTGTACACTGAGGTGCTTATTTTTTGGATGTAAATAGCTGACACAGAGGAAAACGTAAAAAACCTTTGCCTCAAGTTGTCGGAATATTTCTTCTGACTAGGACATTTCCTGATCTTAATATAGAACCAATTGTGTTGATCAGGTAACCATAAACAACAGAAAGACGTTTATTAAATATTATTTATTTTTTACTGTGGCTCTTTTGGCCTGAAATGAGCTTCTAGAGATCATTTCTATTTTGATGAACAATGTATTTGACATGTCTTCCTTTGCAGTTCAAAATGGTGTTAAAGTAATTTTACTTTTAATTTTCCTTGTGATGTGATGCTCATGGGGAAAAGGTTGCTTAATGGACAATCCTGTTGTACTAAAATACAGTATGGCATTTAGAAATATGCTTCTTAGAAACTGTGAAACTTATTATTAAAAACATTAACACAAGTGTCTGTTGATTTTTCTGTCACAATGTCTAAAACACCAACTCTGGCATCATCAGTGCGTGTATCTGAGTGCTGAATTGTGGGTGCGGTAGCATAAGAGATAGCATCACTACATAGTTTGTATGTGCAGAGAAGTTTCAACAGGTCTTCCCTCAGTGTGTTGTAGAAACGATCAAAACACTACAGCAGTGTAGCATTTTCTCTCAGTGCTCCTGCTCTTCTGAACTTCCAGCATCCAGCTAACAATTAATGGGGCTTTGTCTCTTTTTCATAATTAGGTTTTGCATAACTGTGATTTCCCCACACTGCTTTCAAATCCAATAAACCTCAAAACAAGGGGATTGCATACCTCACTTGCCTTAAGGGGACAGGTCTTGGCAAGACCATAAGTATATAAGCACAAATCTTATAACGGCATTAGCGAAGCAATAAGCAAAAGTCTTTCTTTTTTAATGAAATTATTGTAACCTATTGAAATCAAACGGGTAAAGGAAAGCACAAGGAAAAGATCACCAAAATTATGCAAACGCATTTCTATTATTAACAAAAAAACATGAATGTATGAAGTGTTTTTGGTAGCACTTCACTGCATAACAGTTGAGTTATTAAATAACAAGAATCATGCAAAAGCATTTATACCTTCAAATGTACTCCCCTACTGATTATATGTACAGTAGGGGAAGTGTTAGAAGATGTATAAAGTGATTTTGGTAGGACTTTACTTTATAACAGGGAAGTTATTTAATATTGCATTGCAGATTTAAGTTGTCGGCTTGTTTTGATAGAGATTAGGTTGAAGCTCCTTGTATAACTTTGGTTGTTTAGAGATGTCGTTTTAAGAACGTTTTGTTTTTGATCCATCAAGATTGCATTACATCTGTTAGTAACTTTCTAACTGAAGAGGGCTTTTAAATTGAAATTACTTCCAAAGATCTTTTGCTCGCTTTTCTGTTGACTGGTGTAAGGAAGAAAACAAATGTAAACGAAGGTACATGGTCAAATCTATTTTTTACTCAATTTCAGTCCTAGAAATTAGACTTTACATTAAAACTTTTTAAAAGGTGCAAAACTTTTAAATACTTGTCACTATTTGCAACGTTACTATTCTCGCAATGACTATACGAATATTCTACTAATTTATATATATAATGTGTATATAAATATGCATCAAGCCTTTTAGCGGCCTTATATGGTAGCGTGGCCGAGTGGTCTAAGGCGCTGGATTTAGGCTCCAGTCATTTCGATGGCGTGGGTTCGAATCCCACCGCTGCCAGATTAATTTTATTCTTAGAGACGGCTTGTATTATTTGATCAAATTGAAAGGTTTGGCAAGTAACGTAAATAAAGGACTAGTAGCCTACTGAGTAATATGTTGTAACGTAGTAAATAACGTTATTTTAGCAGTTCCGCTCCCAATGAAACACGTGACAACCCCAAGATATTATGTTAGCAAATGCAGGCTAATGAAGCAGAGCGTCAGATATTGGAGTATTTGTAGCTAATAGTTTAATTAATCTATATGACAACACGACACAACAGTTTAATTCTACACGTTTATATCACATACAACCCTGTAGTAGGCAAACTCACCATGTTAATAACCACTCGTAAACTTTGATGGCGTCTGTTGTTTACACTGTGCAGTCTGACAGCCTCCACTCGGGAAAACCTAGTCAAGCCAGCCCGCACGTGATATTGCTGTGCGCGAATATCCTATGCATTACGGTAAAATCCTGGAAACACTGCCTCTGTGTTTAGATGAGAATAAAACAAAAACTGTCCAGTATCAAAGACTCATTTCACTTCAGGGTGATAGCAGGACATCCCAGTCACTTCGAAAAAATTAGGACATTCTGATGTACAGTTTCAAAATAAAAGACCTTTGAAGTCTCATATAGGCCTATATCATCCCTGTTTTTAGATGAGAATAAAACAAAAACTGTCCAGTATCAAAGACTCATCTCACTTCAGGGTGATAGCAGGACATCCCATCTAGTCACTTAGAAAAAATCAGGACATTCTGATGTAGAGTTTCAAAATAAAAGACCTTTGAAATCTCTATTGTATGAGCTATCATCCCTGTTTTTAGATGAGAATAAAACAAAAACTGTCCAGTATCAAAGACTCATTTCACTTCAGGGTGAAGTCTCATATATGAGACTTCAAAGGTCTTTTATTTTGAAACTGTACATCAGAACGTCCTTTTTCTGAGTGACTAGATGGGGTGTCCTGCTATCACCCTGTAGTGAAATGAGTCTTTGATACTGGACAGTTTTTGTTTTATTCTCATCTAAACACAGAGGCAGTGTTTCCAGGACTCTACCGTAATGCATAGGATATTCGCGCACCGCAATATCACGTGCGGGCTGGCTTGACTAGGTTTTCCCGAGTGGAGGCTGGCTTGACCGCAGTATGCTGACGATGTGGGTGGGTCAGATAACGGAGTGTTTGTAACATTAATAGTTAAATTAATCTATATGACAACACGACACAACAGTTTAGATGAATTCTACACTTATAGTTATATCATATACAACAGTCTAGTAAGACTCACCATGTTCATTACGACGTGTAAACTTTGATAGAGTTCGTTGTTTTCACTATCTACGTAAAACGAAACTAACTAGCTAGCATTCCCTCGTATGGTTCAACATTTCTCCACCGTGATTGGTCAAATGTTGGACGAATGTAGGTGCTCGCACTCTCATTGGCCAAATAATGTTGGAGCTTGTCTTGGGTTCGATTCCCACCGCTGCCTAAATGTTTACATTTTTTCATAGAATTCGCCTTGTTTCTTTATTATTTGAACATCGGGTAGACATTTGCCACTATGGCTCATTTTGCCCTTACAGATGACTATTTAGGACTGGGGAAATCGTTGGCAGTGCAAGTGCGCACTCTTGTGGCAACCTTAATATGCACACATCCACAAGTTCAGTACTTACATTTTATAGGAAGTGTTAGATTACACTTGTGTCATGGGAATTCATTTTAAATTTAAAGTTATGCTTTTCTTTCAATTGTATAGAAAAGAGAGAACTTATAAAGTGAAGCTCGTATTGTAGGCATTCATAGTTAATGCTTTTATTTCGCAAAAGTGTACAAAATTACTTATTCAACTCTTTGTGAATCACAACAAATCGTTATCATGGAACCTGGAAACATGCTTACATGCTTTAAAAGAAATCAATCCAAATTGTAATATGTGCAGTACAAAATTAGATTCATAGTTACTTCAAACTGTAGAGAAATCAATAACATTCACACAACTCAGGTGTAATAATTTTAAGCAGCCTGGTAGTTTCATTGTTTGGAAATCAGATACCCATATACAAAAAAATCTAAAAGATGGAAGACATTTTTATATAACATGACATTCCAAAGATGTTTTTTTCTCACAAACTATATTGACCGCGATCCATCCAGTACGTTTTCTATACAAATGGTTTAGTTCTGACAGAGTATGCAGGATATCATCAGTATCAGCATGCTGATGCCCATCAGCAGCAGGAGGACCAGGGGCTGCTGGGGGGTCCAGGAGAGGCTGAGGAAAGCTGAGCTGGAGCGAGGCTGTCTGGACTTCAGGTAGTGCTCCACAGAGTCCGCCAGGCTGTAGGACTTGGGACAGTATCCCAGCTCTCGACGCGCTTTGTCAATCTTGAAGGTGTGGCTCACAGCTATGCTCCTTACCTGCAGTGGAAGACATTTACATCAATTCATAATTCATCAAGACAGAAATCATCTCCAGACGCTGCAGAACAGGAGAGAAAGGTAAAGGTCACACTGTCAGGCTAATGGTTTACATTAACCTCTATTGGGCAAACTTGGTTTTACATTCGGATAGCCTGTGACTGATTGATGCCTCCGGTTACTGCATCTCCTTACTGCTTGGGTATAAGGTGTCAGCATGTGATGTGAAAAGGAGTTCAAACAGACACCAGTGAGACAGGAAAAGCTTGTTACCAATCTGTCATCTTCCAGCTCGCTCCTTAGGTTAAACTGCTTCAAACACTGCTCAAATTCCACAACATATCTATCTATGCATGTACAGTAACCTCACCTGCCTTCAACGTTACCTCACTTGAGAGAACTTTAATGCTTTAGGCAATTCACTTCCCCAGGTGTTACCTTACTATGCTGATGGCACACATTTTTACAAATTGGCCACACATTAGTTATAACATTTGAAATAAGCACACAAAAATATCTTCCTTGCAGACCAGAAATGTGTGTGCGAGAGGAAAAACTCTGCACATCACGCGATGGCTTAACCTGAGAGTTGGCAGGATCATTTGAGGCCAGCTGCCGACTCCATTCACCATAGCAACAGCTGAGGTCACTTCCTGAAGACTTCATCCTGACCTTCCTGTTCTGACCCTCAGCAGTTTATGTTTTATTCACAGGAACAATCATTAATCCCCGGGCCAGCAGCTGTCTGACAGAATGAGCTGCAGGCCCACAGGCTCAGCTCAGGTTCTGTCTCATTACACTTTCATGAGTCTGTACAGGCGGCGGACGGAGGCTCCTTAAGAAGCAGCGGAAAGGTCTCCCCCGGCAGGATTACTGCACACTGCCCTTTTCCTGATACACTATCATTATTCCGCTTTTGAAGTAGTGCTATGGAGGAGTGGATGGTATTCAGATGCTTTTAGTGACTAGGGCAACTTTGAGATTTCATTTCTTGCCGACCTTTTTCAAGGCTCATTATTTTATTTTTTTTCATAATTAATGCACAAATCAGACGAAGGAAGGGAAGAGCAAGGGGGCTGATAGGAAAATACCCACTCTACAGAAGTTTGTCTTCACTGTTGTGGAAGAGACTAAAGCATAGATCTACAGATGAGAGAGCAGACAACCAACATACAAGAACATACTTCCACTAAGGTAGCTAAAGATACGGTCCTTATCTCTGCTCAGTTTATTCCAATCAGAAAGCCTAAGGAATAATTTGAGGAGTTATACACCATTTTCTTTCCAAGCATCAATTACAGAGTTCAATTTTAGTATGTCATAAAACTTGTTGAGGGCAGAACAAACTAAGCTTTCAAAATTCATGGAGTCTGAAACGTGTTTTGACCAAAGAGGCAGGAAGAAGCATGATTACCTCGCTCCTGGTGAAGAGGAGAGGCACCTCTATCACAGGTCTCAGGGCTAGATGCAAATACTCAACAAGGATGGCTGAAAAGAAGACAAATATACATGCACGTTAGTATTGGTAACAACTCACCAAATGTTTGAATACATTATGCTCTAAAAGGTAGACAAATAATGATGAGCTACCTGCTGAATAGACGAGTGAAACAGGAAGGTTTATCGTTGGTTGGCTGTGGCCCAGCCTCTCAAACTGCAGCATGTAACAGAGAGAAAAACATTCCACTTAAACTGTAAATATCCCTGACAGCACAAAGGATAAGGCAGGTTCTTTTATATCTAATAGATCTGTAGATAGCTAAGTAATGACGACAAGTGTCTAACAATACCATACACCATAACCTGTCTATAGAACTCAAGCCCATTCGTGGATGTAAATATTAAAAACATTTTTCAGATGTTTTCTTTCAGTCATTTGTTAAAACAGCTTGGTTTCACTCAAACAGTGGTCAATAGTGCATTATGTTTTGGATTATTTCAGCAGCCAATTAAAACACTTTTGTGGTAGTAAAAGTGAACTATATTAACCATTATTGCGCCACACTCTGACGTGTGTTTTGGATTTTTTAGGACAAAGATAGATCCCGCTGAACACAGAAGAACAACGTAATCAAGCTTTGGCTTCACAGACAATACTTGTTGGTAGAATCGAATCAATGTTAGTTTTGTTGTTTTCATGATATATGTTGACAATAGAAATATACAGTATATGCCCTGCATTACTATTTAACTTACCAAAGGTCTCAACCACTCAAACAGATTTAATGAAACTCCATCATTGATGAAATAGGCCTGTCCACTCTGCAAAGGAACAGAAAACAATTAATAATAGGAGCTAGTTTTAATTTTGAACATACACACACTCATCCTGTCTGTCTATGGTCTTAGTTTGGGATGTTTAGAATAAAAAGAGTAACTATATCAAGACTGAGGGAATAATTAACTTCAGTTAATAATAAACAATATTTAAGTCATCAATCTGATACTTAAAAAGTATGGTTAGCAGCGTTGTTGCATGTCGTAGTTTAAAACCTGATTTATTCTGTGTAGTTCCATCAGATTGATCACATCATAGATCTATGGGTCTGTCTGTTTGTCCTGACTCACAGCGACTCCGTTCCTCTTCAGAGTGAGAGCCTCGGCAGCCAGCTTGTGGGCCAGCACCAGGTTATCCACATGGACCCAGTTCATCCGGGCCCGGGGGTCACCAAACCTGAAGCTGAACAACCGGCGCTCCACATTCATCTGAGAGATAGAGAGGGAGGAGGGGCGTCGTTCTGTGGTTCTACATCACACATTCTGTACTCTTTAACATGCTCAAGCAAAAGTGAAGCATCCTTATGTCTGTACATCATAAAATGATTTTTGAAAAGAAAAGTTACAAAAAAACTGTCTTACATTTCAGCGATTTATTAACTTTCAATAAAACTAGGCACTGAAAAAAATTGAAATTAAATTTCTTTTCATGTAAATTGACATTAAACTATTTAGTCAGACATACATTCTGCAAGGGAGGCTACAGATACTACAAATTGTATATCTTTCCCAGTTCCAAAATAAGATGAATAAATACATTGTTAACATATACCAAGTTGATTCTGTGTCTCTCACCATGACTCTGTGGAGGTGTCTCCTCTCCTCTGGTCCGTAGATGCCGCAGGGCCGCAGGACGCAGCTCCGAAGCAGACCTCCACCTGCACAAGGGACCATTCAAAACTTCAGTGAAAACATGCATATAATGTGTTTTAAAGGTCTCAGATATATACAAAACATGTCTCTGAAGTCCCTCCCCACGCCCCTCTGAGAGATATTTGGTTAAAAAGACACAATGCTGCTCTAGGAGGAGATTCAGGTGATAAGGTGGGGGGGGGTTACCTTGGTTGGTTATTGGCTAATGGTTACACAAGCCAAAAAATTGTTATGACATCATAAAGTGGCCAAAATCTGATCAGCACATTTTCAGACAGGTTTTTATATAAATGGATCAGGACAAACAGAGAGAGAATCTTTTTTCCTGAAACTTTCAGAATCTCTTTACACAGAGGGGACACATGTTGATGTATACAAGACATGAAAAAGTAGATTTTGGTGACCTTTAAAACCTGTTATCAGTGCACTCATATTTAAGCAAAGAAATCCTCACCGAAGCTGTTTTTTTTTTTTTCCTTTTCCGCTGTGTATCAGCGGGGACAGACTTGTTTTGTTTGTGTCATATTCTACTCGTGAACCTCTCCATGAAGAAATATTTTCGTAATTTATCTCGCACGACTCCTCAAGCTATTTAGTTTTGAGAATACCATAGATGCAAGAAAAGACTATGAAAAGACTGACTCAGACACAAAGCAGCGATTAGGAATGTGTCTGCTACTTCAGAACCACGGACAGCTCCATATATTTATTAAAACCATAGACTGTACACATTCAACAGAGCACAGTAACCTAACCTTAGTCAGATAAAGGATCAATAAGTCGGACTAGGCTAGCACATGACATAGTATTGGATAATTGCAACTATCTTGGCATTGCTTTTAAATGCAAACATTTGAGGAGTTAAGGGGATGGGAAACTGGACAAACATTTTTTAAATAATTGTTTACCCTTTTAACTCTTATTTTCTAATTTAATCAAATGATTATTGTTTTCAAATGAACTATGAACTTTCAACGTTGTACTTAAGTCAATTTGAGTGAATGTGTTTTGTTTCTTTTCACCACTGCAGAGGTTTTCTTTTACGTGCAGTACATGCTGGAGCAGATACAGGAACTTTAACTTGCAGTATGTCATAGAACAGCAATGAGATACCATCACCTTATACATTTAATTCATATCTGAGCTTAATTAAATGGTTAAGGCGATGCTCACTGTTGGATGTCGGGTTACACTGGAGGAGGTAATGGGACACTTAAGAGCTGAGAATGTAAATAACATGAAGGAACTCGAAACCCATTTTATGCATTAAAGATGTTTGTCGCACTGGAAACTAGATAGTCTTGCCAAGCTCTAAATTTGAACTGGTGTCACTGAGTTCATATGGGATCGAACAAACCGTTTCCATGGCAATCACTGAGCGCTTTAGTGTGTTTCCTTTTGCACAATTATTTTACAGCTAAACCCAAAAAGCTAAGGCTGCAATCTCCTCTGATCTGATTTACATGTTGTCATTGCACACACTGACCTTTTAGGGAGCATCCGTCGGCAGAGAGGACCATCTGCTCTGCTATTGTTTTGGTTCTGGAGTAGTTGTCAATGTGCTGGAACAGAGATAAAAACAAAATACTGAAAGTGTATTATGTTTGGCAAATGTACGGGACATTTAAATATGTTGGTCTAGTAGCAAAACCACAGTTTAAGGACAAATCAAAGCTCTTGTTCGGTGAAAGTAACAGCATTAAAATGTAATCAAAATACCAAAATGTTTAATATTTATCATGCAGAAGAGCCCATTTTAGACTAATATATATATTAAAGATTAGAGATTATAATTATAGCTGCAATTATGTGTAAGCATTACTTAAATTGATTTGGACTGATTGTTATGCTATTTTAAAAAACGTGTCTTTATATTTAATGATTATGTGTTGCATTAATAAACCCAAAAATAAATATATCAAAGAAATGTAGGAGAATACACAGTTTATCAAATCAAATAAAAAGTTAATCAAGTAAAAAAGTATATGCAATAATATAATTGCATAAAATACAGTAAAATGGTACATGAAAGATGCATTTTGCTCACTATTTGTTTAATTGTACTCAGCTAGATCCCATCACTGCAATAGTCAATATGATAAGTTATTTGTTTTTAATGATTTTCTTTATACGCACCACGTCGGGGGGTACACATTGCACGGAGCCCTCGTCCCCATCCTCAATTGGTTTGCCAGCAAACACCACATTGATGGTGCTGGTGTACACCAGCCTGGGGATGCTCCTCTCCCTGCACACTGAGAGAGAGGCAGGTCACACACCGAACACTACAGAGAGGATTTATATGGATTTGCGGATTAACAACTTTATTTTGGCTACAAAAACATTAACATTATGTCTCACTATTTACTGCAGAAATGATTTGTTTACAATGTGTGATTAATAACTTTTCAGCTAAATCAGCTATTAAAACTCAAACTCACCAGACCAAGTACATTTCACATCAAGTTAAAGATGGGGTATATCATTTATTTCAGAAACACTTTTTGTTATATTCCATGGAATGCTCTTAACATCCCGATAGCAATGAATATATTAAATGCTTTGACAATAAATCCATAAAAAAATGTCATCTGTGGAAGCCGTAGCGCTGTAAAAAGCACGACCAATCATTTTAGCCGGCCCGGCTAAAATAACTGGATGGCCTACCTGCCCGTCAGCCTTCCATCTGTGCACAAATTGATCTCGTGCCCTCATTGGTCATGTGCGCGTCCGTGTGTGTTGGAGGAGGGGCTCTGTAAGGAAGTCTGAAGGAAAGGGCAGATTTTTTCCGGTTGTGTACTTTCAAATTCTAGCGCACTCAAGCTGGTTTCTCCAATATTACATACCCCACCTTTAAGAATGTCAATTACCTCTTAATTTGTATCTTTAAATATTATATTGAATCACTGATACATGAATACCTACCGTTTATGACATTATTGGTCCCGCCCACATTGACTGACTCCACCTGTTCTTTTCTCAGCTGACAGATAAACAAAATGATAATTATAATGAAAATGAATGATACATTGATGTCCAAACTTCTTCTTACATCGTGACTATTTGCTCTCTCTTACACACACAAACAAACTAACTGTAGTGAGGTCAATTTGCTTTAATTTATTTATTGGTGGATCACTGGGGGTTTTGGCATTGAAGGAGCATTAGTATAATTATTAACATTTGTTGAACAAAACAGAAGCAGTCAGTGACCAAGGGCAGCCTTAAAGTAATGTAAGCATGACTGAGAAGTAGTAGGTGTTAGGGAAATAATTGTCTTAGACTCCTAGATATGACGTACATGACCAACCCTGACGTCTGTTTATCTCCTTTAAGGACATAGGCTGCTTCAGCCATAATGTTATTGTTCCCATTCTGTGACTGGGCAACACTAGGTCACAGATGGTCTGTTGTTGTGGGTGCATTGGGACACTTCCTTCTTTGTTGTTTGTGGACTCCAAGGTATGACATCTTCGAGGCCATAAGTGACGGACGCAAGCAACTCAGTGTGCCCAACTGTTTAAACTATCTTATCAAAATATGTTGATTACTCTCTGCGAAACCAGTTAAATGGGCTAACGAGAGAGAGGCGCGCCAGAATTGACGTGGCAACTCTACCGTGCAGTCTCACCGTGACTGCTGTGACTTGTGATGTGAATCCTCCGGCCGTAACTCCAAATAAACCATCAGTGTTTGACATCAAAGCTCCTGCTCTTCCCGTGGCTCTTTCCTGAGTCTGTGACTCCCACTGCATTGCTACACAGAAGTTTCCCTTACAGTAGGTATGTGTGTATGTGTGAATGTATGGCATGTGTGTAGGTGTGTGCACTCGAGGGACGGTTTGTCGAGAGCAAATACTGGGGATGCTGCTTTTCTGGTTCTCCAGTTGCAGGGTGTGTGTCGGTAAGTGCACAGCACTGGAACACACATGTTTATCTGGTTTTACTATTGTGTTTGTGTTTGAGTCAATTGACATTTGTTTGTGTTATTCTGTAATCCTCCGATTTCAAATTCCAAATAAAAATATAGTAATTAAGAGAATTTGCAGGTAATTCAAATTCAAATATTAATAATGAAAACAAAAAAAATCCTATTTATTTCAAGTAATTTGTTAACATTGTTTAGCTAGTATAAAAATCAATGTTTTATGGAATAACCCTGATTTACAATCACAGCTTTCATGTGTGTGTGCTCTCCAAGAGACAAACCTCTTCTAAATAAACTGTTGTTGCATTTATCTTCACCTCTCACAAGAAGGTCTGGTACTTTTTAATATATTGTTATGAACGTATTGTGCATGTTGATCACAGATTACTACATTCAAAAAGTGAACAAAGCACACCAATGAACATCCTCCCTAGTCTTTTTTCCTCTGACTGAAAAGGCTTAAAGAAAGGAAAGTCACCTGTTCTGGTCCAGACATGCCGTAAGAAGCCGTGTGGAATATACAGTCGACCCCTTCACACATTTTATAGAGGGAAAAATAATCCCGGATGTCACCCTTTGAGAACAAAAATAAAAAAAATAACCCTAAATGTAATGCTTGATGCTTCATTTGGAAACAGCTATCTTCATTAGTTCCATTACTTTACATCCATTTCATGCGGTGTTATCAGTAAGGTCTTCGCCTCTCATTCACAAATACACACAGTCACACACACACACCCCGCTGGCAGCAGGCTACCATGCAGTGTGCTGGCAAACCATCAGGAGCTATTTGGGTTTCTGTGTTTTGCTCCATGACAGTATGACAGGAGGACTGCCAGCCCCATGACAAGTTAGGAGCATTGCAGTCACAGAGCATGTGTGAGTTAATATATATCCCATGGAAGGACAGTTGTAATTAAGGTAAGTGTGCCATGAGGCCTTCAGGTGAAACCCGAAACATGTCTCCACCCTCTGTGACCCAGCAGCTGGCGGTCTGAGGCAGATCACTCACCTGTGTCTTTTTTCATGACAGAATCCAAACTAACCACAGAGACACACTGACGCTGGCTCATTCAAGGCTAGAGACGATTTTCAAGTCTGTAAGGAGGCGTGTCGGTTAAAAGAAGAAGCTATTCTTTAGGTGCCATGTATGTTTACCTTTCCCAAATGTTATTGGCATGCATGCCTTTTAATTAAATTAGTTGCTGAATTGGCGATAGACAGGCTAACATTTAAAAAGTAAGTGAAGGGACAGTTATTGGGCACAATACCAGGGAACCACAGCTTTATGACTTAAACAATCATTGCTGTTGTTGGTGTAGTATGGTCTATAATTACCCTGTCATAGTATTGACTTGAATTAAATTGTCAGGCAAGATTATTTGGTAAAATGCAAGGACAATTAGAGAAACAGAAACATCTTCATCTCTTTAATAGCAGGATCTCAGGTCCCTCACTGCTACATACCTGATAGAAGGTGGCCCCATCAGGGATGTCACAGGGAGGCCTGTTCATGTCCAGAAGGATCACTGACACCCCCTGGCTGGCTAGATCTCTCCCCAGCCTGAACCCAAAGTATCCCCCTCCCCCTGTGACCAGCACCTTCCCTGAGGAGATGCCCCGGGCCAGCACTGTCTCCTCTCCCAGTCTGGAGGCCCAACTCTCCGAGCTGCTGTAGCTGGTTGCCATGGCTCCACTCAGCCTCTCGTGGATGGCGGGGGTCGGGCTGGAGGCGATGGCGGGGGCTGGGTGGTCGACCCATGGCTGCTGGGGGAGGTCGAGCATGTTGGGTCCACTGGCCTGCATGACACTCTGAAGCTGCTTCACCTCGCAGAGAGCCCCCAGACTTATGTCTTGATGGGTCGAGTAAAGGTACATATTGATTTTAATAATTGTTAACAGAATCAAAATGTAATCTGGCAAAATGGTCACATCAGGTACAGTTTAACTACAATGGCCTCACAATTAAACTTCAATGCAATGATTATCTCACAAAACTAAAATAATGTTTTTTTTAAAACTGGAAGATCAAATGTACACACATCTTCCTGAGTATAACATATTTCATGGACTGGGAATCATTTCATGATTAATTAAAGTAAAAGAAAAAATTGTATGTTTATTTTTTATACTTTTTGTGAAAAAAAACACAAATACACATGCAAAACACATGAAACAGCCATTGTTTTTTAGAGATAAAGGGTGCAGTCTCCAGCCACCAAAGCAATATCCATATATTAACACTTAATATGTACCTCTTCTCAGCAAAACGAATCAGCTAGTGAGACATTTAGCATTCAAAGTGAAAAATCCGACACGCGGATCAGATTTCCGTCACGTGCATACTTTAAACGTCTCAATAGGCTACTGATATTAATACTCATAATTATACATTTACCTTAATATTCCTGTCAACCTCTCACATCCATACCTGTGGCGATTGGCTCGTGAAATAATCCCGTCTATACCTTCCCCTCCCTCTCGCGCATGGTGCCTCTCGCGTCACATCCCTCTGTCAATCACCTGCACCTCACCTGAGGACACTACCGTAATGTCTGTGTGCGCGGCGCAGGAGGATCGTGTTTCCAGGAGCATCAAGTGGCAACAGAGCCTGCCCCTTTTTGGGTGTCTCGAATTTAAAGCCCTGCTTCATAGCAATACAAACTCAAATTTGTTAATTTTGTTTATTCAGTGTAATGTGTCTCGAAAACCTGTCAAATGTCTTATCTTATCTAATGTTATATCAGTTGATTATTATGTGAAACTAAATAAAGTCTGCACTCATGGACAGATTATAAAATATCAGGCAACTGGGACACATGCACGCTCACAAATATAAATGAACAGAAATATGAAATAAAAGTTTAAATTACTTGTTATTGACTATATTGTGCATTATGTTATTGGTTATTGGAGGCCATATTCTAACGATTTTTTGATTATTTAATATATACATTTTTCATATGGGTGTTACGAGATATATCCATAGATCTAGTTTCTTAATTTTGTTCACAAGATTGATGCATTTAACTCCAAAATCCTTTCTTTTAAAAAAAAAATCTACCCGGAGGAGCATGCGAGTGGGGAGGTCCACCCCCCACTTAAAACATGTTCACATGGATATGATCATAAATATACTTGCACACTTTTTATATAGTAACCTATGTCAATTACCTTCTAGTTTGGTAGTAAAGTGGTCTAGTGTAGATACTTTTAATTCATTATTTACATTTAATGTTGTGTGATCTTTGGATACTCTATTGATATATATATGTATAATTTAATATATTGTCGGGCTGGTTTAGCCCCTGATGTTACTAGATCAAAGCAACACCCTTGTAAAGTTCCCCCAACAATTGGTCATGGTGTCTTTGTAGTAGCTTTGGATGTGTTTGTGGTTGTTTAAGGTCTCTTTGTAGTCGTTTATCATCACTTCATATTGTCGCTCTTGTCTTTTTGTTGTCATTCGACTTATAAATGTTAACTATCACTTTATAAAAGGATCTGATACAAACAATCCATCTTCTTTCCTCCTATTGCCAGCCCCGGAATAGACCAGGGATCTTAAATATAAGTAGTTCTGCTCATTCCTATCCCAATGCAATAGAAAACTGTGAGACAGAGTGAAGAAGATATTGAGGATTTTGAACTTAAAGGCTTAATAATACAATGATTTCTATATGTCTGTAAACACATGCCAATCAAATCTATAACTAATGTATTTTTGACATGACAACAGGCCAGGTAAAACCACAGCGGTCACTTCCCGAGCTCAGTGTTTTTGGAGAGGACAGAAATAGACGCTTCATATTTGTATTTAGAAGACAGCCGACAGACTGCCAAACCTGAGCTGACAGTTATGCGCTGCACGTAATTAAAGAAGGGTGAACAAAATAATCTTAAGTAGATAGAGCTCTTGAGTACAGAGGCAATTTGGAGATAAACTGGACTCTGGAAAAGGAGGATGAATTTGAAATGTCCTTTTTTTTGTACTCTTATTTTTAAACAGGACATGCTGTGTGATTTACTACTAATCCCAGATTGCATTTACTCTCATTTGGGTTGTGTGGCTTTAGTATCTCCTTTAGTATTTTAATTTCTGTTCAAGAGACAGTATGCATGCCGAGGGATACGTATATCATGACATAAAAGACTCCACTGATTTAGCATTGTACATAACATTGTTAGACTTAGACAGTTAAGGGGGAAATGAGCAGAGAAAGCAGAGATATCATCATTTTCATTCACATATTGTTCTTTGTGCGGAAAATGTGCTGTTTACCCACAATAGTTGGCCAACAACAGTTTGAACTATGCTAATAAGTGCTTATGTAGCAAATTACATAACTTGAGCAAGACTTCATTGACATGTCTTCATAGGGCCTCAAAGCAACCTTTACCAGTTGTTCTTTAGACTTTACTCCATGTTTTTGTCTTTTTTTAGGACAATAAATGAATAATCTTTTATATATAAGAGAACATGATCAGTCCTAACTCACTGCCTTCTTCCTCTACTGCTCATTTGTTTTTTCAGCACTTGGTGTGATAAGAGGTTTGAGTTACTCTCTCATTAAATGCTGCCAAAGCACACCAATGAATCACAGTCAGCAGTGGGGAAGAAGAAGATGAACCTTTTATTTGATCCTTAATGGGAAATGCAGGTGTTCACTCAGCTGTAACACAAAGTACAAAACACACACATGCACAGGACAGGACCTATACACATTAGGTTTGAATACATATACAATCACATGCATTTTTCTGACATACGCAGAGATGTTACATTACATTACATTACATTGCATTTGGCTGATGCTTTTATCCAAAGCGACTTACAATAAGTACATTCGACCAGGAAGACACAACCTTGAAGAAAACAGAATCATATAAGTACATCAGGTTTCATAGAGCCAAACATTTCAAGTGCTACTCAACAGGCTTTAGGTAAGCCAGTCCTTTATTAGTATAAAAGTGCTTCGTTAATAGTTCTAACGCTCTAAGTGGAGTCGAAAGAGATGAGTTTTCAGTTTGCGCCGGAAGATGTGCAAGCTATCTGCCGTCCTGATGTCAATGGGGAGCTCATTCCACCATCTTGGAGCCAGGACAGCAAACCCACGTGTTTTCGCCGATGGGAACTTGGGTCCCCCTCGCAGCGAGGGCGCAACGAGTCGTTTGGCTGATGCAGAGCGTAGTGCACGCGCTGGGGTGTACGGTTTAACCATGTCCTGGATGTAGGAAGGGCCAGATCCATTCGCAGCATGGTAAGCAAGTACCAGTGTCTTGAAGTGGATTCTAGCAGTTACCGGAAGCCAGTGAAGGGAGCGGAGGAGCGGAGTGGTGTGGGAGAATTTAGGAAGGTTGAAGACCAGACGAGCCGCTGCATTCTGGATGAGCTGCAGAGGTCGGATGGCACATGCAGGTAGACCAGCCAGGAGGGAGTTGCAGTAGTCTAGGCGTGAGATGACGAGAGCCTGGACCAGAACCTGAGTCGCTTTCTGAGTCAGCTGGGGACGTATCTTCCTGATGTTGTAAAGCGTGTATCTGCAGCAACGGGTTGTAGCAGCGATGTTTGCAGTGAAGGACAGGTTGTTATCTAGGGTCACACCCAGATTCCTTGCAGTCTGAGTCGGGGAAACAACTGAGGTGCCGATGTTGATTGTTAGGTCAAGAGTGGGACAATCTTTTCCCGGGAGGAAGAGCAGCTCAGTCTTGTCAAGGTTGAGCTTGAGGTGGTGAGCAGACATCCACTGAGAGATGTCAGCTAGACAAGCAGAGATGCGTGCAACGACCTGGGTCTCTGAGCGGGGAAAGGACAGAATTAATTGGGTGTCATCAGCGTAGCAGTGGTAAGAAAAACCATGCGGGCTAATGACTGATCCGAGCGAGTTTGTGTACAGGGAGAAGAGGAGGGGACCAAGAACAGAGCCCTGAGGGACCCCCGTAGTTAATTGACAAGGGTCGGACTCAGACCCTCTCCAAGTCACCCTGTAGGTACGGTCTTTCAGGTATGAGGTGAGGAGGGAAAGTGCAGAGCCTGAAACTCCAAGTTTTTGGAGAGTGCGAAGGAGGATCTGATGATTCACCGTGTCGAATGCAGCAGACAGGTCCAATAGGATGATGACAGAGGAGAGGGATGCAGTTTTGGCAGTGTGCAGTTCCTCAGTGACAGCAATGAGAGCAGTTTCTGTGGAGTGACCTGCCTTGAAACCAGACTGGTACGGATCCAGAAGGTTGTTCTGATTGAGATAACAGGAGAGTTGTTTAAAGACAGCGCGTTCAAGTGATTTAGACAGGAACGGGAGGAGAGAGACAGGCCTGTAGTTTATAACATCAGACGGGTTGAGAGTGGGTTTCTTTAGGAGAGGGTTTACTCTTGCCTCCTTGAGACTGTTTGGAAAGTGACCAGAAGTTAGAGAAGTGTTGATGAAATGGGTGAGAAACGGTAGAATATCAGGAGCGATAGTCTGAAGGAGGTTTGAAGGGATAGGGTCCAGAGGACAGGTGGTAGAGCGGGCAGAGGTAATGAGGGTAAGAACCTCACTTGGAGAGAGAGGGGAAAAGGAGGTAAGTGTGTTGGTGGAAGGAGGGTCTGGTGACCCAGCGGTGAGTAAAGGTGAGTCAGAAAAAGAAGAGCGAATATCATCAACCTTTTTTTCAAAGTGGGTAACAAAGTCGCTTGACAGAAGTGAGGAGGGGGGAGGAGCTTTTGGAGGGTCCAAGAGGGTGGAGAAGATGGAAAATAGTTTTTTAGGATTGGAATAGGAAGATTGGATCTTATCTTGAAAGAAAGTGCTTTTTGCCTGAGAGATCGAAGCAGAGAAAGAGGAGAGGAGAGCTTGATAGGTTAGGAAGTCGTCACGGTGTTTGGATTTCCACCA